AGAGAGAGAGAGGAAGAAGAAGTTTTCTGATTCACGTCGGGTCCCGTGGAGATTGCTATCATTAGAATAACTTTATTAGGCTTTCTGCTGCATTTCCTGTTTGATTTACCTCGCGGTCCCAAGGGCTCATGGGTAGGCAATGAGGACCCCCCCCCCGCACGAGCTCGACCTGCCGATGTTTTGCCGCAGAACCTGAGCGTAAGGTCCCTATTCATCTGCAGCTAAACGCAGCAGAAACAAGTCGCTGGCCAGGAAATCTGCCGCAGGCCTCCAAAAGCTCCGTGTGCAACAAACTGGTGCATTTGCAGAGAGACACTGCTGGCACTGCATCATGGGTAAAAATGGCCCCGGCGCTGCCGCGGCTCCACACTGTGGGTCTCTATCAGAACGTGTCTAACATGAGGTGTTGGATAAAGTCTAATGGCTGAAGTGTGATTGCAAACAAAGCGAATCTCAGTTCATCGAATTAATTTCAAATCAAATCAAATTCGTGCTTTTTATCTCAATTTGGAAACAAAGATTTGTCCCAACGAGGACGAGAAGTTTGACCTGGTTTTTCTCGGATCGTTTCATGTCACGTCTTCTTCCCGCAGAACTCATCAGCTGCCGGCAATAAAATTACACGTCCACATGATGCTTCTTCTCCTTTTCTTTTTTTTTTTTTTGGAACTAATTGTTGAACGTTGCCGCTGCAGCATCACATGCGACAGATTAGGTGAAACGAGGAGGGGACAGAGCCGGGGGGTTCGAACCATCAGGGAGACGCTTCCCGAGCGTTTGCAGACACGTTAACTGATGTACGACACAAACTGAGAGGGGAGAATACGACGCTGCGCCGCTTAATCTGCATTCACCCAAACTCCAGTTTCCTTCCAGTCGTCTGTGAAGTGTTAATGTGCTCCGCTGATTGACGTCTTCATGAGCACTCTGGGGGGTTCGTGTTCAGAGGAGCGTGAGCACGTTCTTTAAATGTGTCCGTCCTGCACGAGTGCAAAGAAAAAAAAACGTATATACCGATTATAAATCTTTAAAGTTCGACTTTTTATCTCATCTAATTCAAATCGTCACTTCTGTTTGTGTTACTGTAGTACAGTACTGAAGTACTCCCCTGAAGTATTTCATATAGAGGAGTATTTCCATGTCACACTACTTTACTTCTGCATCACCACATTTTAAATGAAATCTTTTTTTAATTTTAAATATCCAAAGTTATTTGAGAGCTGTAGTTACTTTAAGATAAAACATGATGCAGCAGATGACAGTAATATGACGTCTTCTGAACAGGGACACTTCCTGGTGGTCAAAGTTTGAAAGCGTCCGTGTGATTGGTTGAAGATTGGTCGTTCATTTATCACTTGTTTATATTACATATCACGTTTTTTCTTACTACATGAAACATTTCATTCTAATCCAAGTTCTTTATAATTGGTTGTATTTGCAATTTCTTTTTCTTTATTAGTTTTAATATTGTTAAACAATAAAATATCAAGCCTCGGTTACATTTCTCTGTCTGGGTTTGATTATAACACAGAAATCATTACATCTATTTATATATAAATCTTTATATCCTCACTAGTATCAGCATCATCATCAGTCAGGCTCCAGGTTGAACCTCAGCGACCCTGCGTCAACAGGAACCTGTGTGTTGCCGTGACATGAGTCTGTCTCTCCAGAGGACGTATCGCAGCAGGAAGAGACGTCAGCTACAGCACGAGAGCTTTCTGGGAAACTTGTCTTATGTAGCCTGCTAATTTTTTTAAATAAGCCGCAGCATGAGAAGCCCCGGGTGAGAGTCAGTGATTCATCAGTCTCCATTCTTCTTGTGATTATCATTTCTATTTTGACATCTGGGAAAGTCTTTGATGTGTGTGTGTGTGTGTGTGTGAGTGTGTGTGTGTGAGTGTGTGTGCACAGAACTGCAGCTCCGACAGTCGTGAGTCTTTTCAACCTGAGCTCCGCGTGAATGAAGCTGCTGCAGGAAACATTCATGTGTCGACGGTGGTTTTTTCATTTCTTCTTCCAGCTTTGAAAATGTTTTTAACTTGATTATCGAGTTAAAAACTTTTTTTTGTAAGTTTCTCCTCGACCCAGAAATCCTCTGCAGTGACCTCAGAGATCAAGAAATGTCCGTCACGTGTTGAAAACCTTTCTGTGAGGACGAGAGACTGAGAACGCTATTAATAACTAGAATGATTAAATTCAACCAAGCTGCGTGTCAGGAAGGTTCCCGGTTTGAATCCCGGTGTGGTCGAGGCCTGTCTGCGTGGAGTTTGCGTGTTCTCCGCGTGTCTGCGTGTTTTTCTCTGGGTTCGTCCACCGTCCCAAACACTGGGGTTTGTTTTATCATGACTCTAAATTCGACTTTCTCGATGGCGATCTGTCCGGGATGTACCCGCCTCCTGCCCGAGGTCGAAGGTTAGGCCTCAGCGGAACCTCGAAGAATAAGCGGGAGAGATAATAAAACTTAAACGAATCCCTGTTTTTACACCAAATGTTTAACGGATGCTTCGTTGCGTCACAAAGGTGATGTGGACTTTTTAAATTCTTTTGTCGCCTTAATGTCGGAATCAGAAAATAATGAAGCGTAATGTTTCTTCTCTACGTCCTGAAGAAGTTTCCTTTGTTATTTCATGTCGATGCATCATCTCCCCCCCCCCCCCCTCCCCCCCCTCCTCTCACACATCTGTTTCTCTTTTTCCTCGGAACACACACACCGTTACACTCTGGCTTTTTTTATTCATGGAAAAAAGAAAAAAAGAGCAGAACAAGAAGGAAACGCCGGCCGAGACCGGCACATTCGTCAGGGTGTTAACAGGTGAGGGTGATTTCTCTAAAGCCGCCGACTCCCCCGGCCTCCCCCGGCCTCCCCCGGGGTTCACAGTGAGGTCAGGACACCTGCGCCGTTTTTTTTTTTTTTTTAGCTTTTCAACTCGCTGCAGACGGCTGCGTTGTTCCAGGTGTTCCCACCCAAACATTTCTTTATTTCAGGTTTTCACAGGTGCTTCAGATACACAGTAGAAGTGAAGATGAAGAAGAAGAGCCCAGGTACAGTCGCTCTGAGAGGACGAGGCACGACAGAAACTTCAATTCTTCTACGGCGAACTGCTGCACAGACTTCAAATGTATTTACAGTAATAAACAATCAATGATTCATAAGATGTGATATTTACAGTTATTACAAATAACGTGTTCAGCGGAATGAGTCTGGAGCTGGAATCTCAGCCGTGGAGGGGGAGGGGGGGGAGGG